AAATTAAGTTTGTGCAGAAAGGGGATGAGTGGGCCCAGCTGGAAGGTTGTTCACACAGAAAGACCCGCGATTGTTAAAAGACACTCTGAAAGGTAAGTTAATGTTAGCATAAGCATATAACTGCATGTTTAGCACATTAGTAGATACACGATCAGTGTTTGTTAAAGTGCAATATAAGCCAGCAAGGTGACAGAGTTACAAAGCAAAGCTAATACAGCCTTAGTCATATTAACAGAAGCACAGAGTGTACAGTAAGAAGGTGACCCACATCCCACCATCACCCATCCTGGGTTAAGTCCTGGGTCCTGCATGAAATAAGATCTGGACAAACAGAATCCAGAGGATGTGGGGGTACAGAGATAACACCCAAGTGGCTGGTGAAGCAGGCTGCTCAGCATAGGGATGGGCACTGCATGGACAGACCTGGTCATTATTCCCAAGTTTCTGCAGGACTCCTTCAGGACAAGGGGACAGGTGGTGCTGTGAGCCCAGGGGTGGGGTAAGGACCTTGGGGAGCCACCAGGACAAATGCCAGTTCAATATACAAAAGAGTTTGTTTTTTTTAATTCTCACCCGAAGATATTTTTCTATTTATCTTCAGACAGAGTGGGAGGGAAGGAGGGTAGAGGGGAGAGAGAGAAACATCGCCAAGAGAGACACATCGATTGGTTGCCTCCCACATGACCCCAACCAGGGCCGGGGACCAAACCGCAACCAAGGTACGTGCCCTTGACTGGAATCGAATCCGTGACTCTTTGGTCTGCAGGCCGACACTCTAACTGCCGAGCCAAACCGGCCAGGGCATACAAAGGTTTTTTTTAATGACATCTATTTTGGGGTGATTATGAGCACCTTACCATGAAAGTTGGTGAGCTGAGGAATGGCAGGGGTTGGCTCAGATGTCCTTAGCTCAGAACCCATAATAATAATCTCCAAAGTGCAGGAGGAAAATATTAGTTCATCTATTTTGACTTAATTTTTGTTGTTGTTACTGTTTTTCTACTTAACTTTTAACTAAAAATAGATAATAGTATATAGTTTAGCTCTGAGGTGCAGCCTTGGCCATATGGCAGGCACCAAATGTTATGTCCCCAGAGGCCAGTTGAGCTCGACAATACAGACAGGTCTGCTATGGCCACATTTTCCATTTTCTACATTCAGCCTGTTTTGACATATTGTGGTGTACCGGTGCTGGGTTGGGTGGGTTTGAGGATCAAACAATACAGCTTGAACTGAATCAGCCCCTATAGCATGGACAAGTGGCTTTAAAGGATCCCTGCAAAGGAACCTCGAATGGCGATGACTGTAATCTAGAAAGTACAAACAAGCAGCAGGAAATGTGGGAGACAGACGCCCCTGCTCCTAGTTCAAGTCCTTCATCAGCCACATTACCGTGCTGAAAAAATAATGAATGGGATCTCTCACACAATTGCTAACTAAAATAATAATAAGAAGAAAACTATTTGAAAAGTAAACTTCTATCCACTATCATCAGTGAGAAAATGCACTCTGAGTGTATACTGAGCCTTGAGACATTAGCTAATGGTCCACAGTACTTGTATTTAATTTCTAAATCTATAAATATGTATACATTGGGGGTGCCTAAAGCATTTTTATGGAGACACATGCTCAATCAAAAAGTGTGATGACGACTGCTCTAGACCCTGACACCCAGCTAGATACTAGGGGATGCTATTCCCTGTTTGGGTTTTGGGGTCTAATCATATTTATATCAGATTTAGGGACCAAGAAAAACTAGGTGGGAGTGTGCCATCCAATGAACTTTTTTGAGGCCTTCCCAAATGTTTGAAAATTAATGGAAAGAAATAGTCTTAAAAGGTTTTCCCTGGCTCTGACTCCCCAAGATGGGTACCTGTTTAGACAGAGCCAGTCCAGTCTCTTTTTCATCCTCTCATCTAAGTTTCTCTATCTTTCTGTCCCTGTTCCTTTTCCCTCTCTCATTCTTTCTCTCTCTGTCTCTCTCGCAATTGGCAACAACAAAAACCAGAAAGGAGGTATTCAGTGCACAGAAAGAGCTTGCTGGCTCTTGAATGTCAGACAGACCTGGATTCAGTCCCCACCTCTATCCATCACTGACTGTGAAGACCTCAGGAAAGTCACATCCATTCTCGGAGCCTCAGAATCCTCTGGAAAAAAATGGGCATGACTACAACTCAACAATAAAAAGACAAATAACCCAAGCTTAAAGGGGCAAAGGATTTGAATAAACATTTTTCTGAAGAAGATATACAAATGGTCAATAGCACATTAAAAGATGCTGGACATCATTAGTCACTAGGGAAATGCAAATCAAAACCACAATGAAATACCACTACACGCTCATTAGGATGGCTAAGATAAGAAATACAGGTGGTGGGGAGATGATGTGGAAAATTGGAGCCTTCATACATAGTTCATGGGATTGTAAAATAGTACAACTGTTTTGGAAAACAATGTGACAGTTTCTCAGAATGTCAAACATAGATTTATCAAGTGACCAAGCAACTCCACTCCTAGGTATACACCCAGGAGAAATGAAAACTTACATCCACACAAAGACTTGTACATGTATGTTTACAGAAGCTTTATTCATAATAGCCAAAAGGTCGAAACAACCCAAATGTCCATCAACTGATGAACAGATAAAGAAATGTGATATAATCATACAGTACAATATTATTTGGCCATAAAGGGGAAGAAGTGCTGACACATGCTATAACATGTATAAACCTTGAAAACAGTATGCTCAGTGAAAGAAGCCAGTCAGAAAGGATCATCTATTGTATGATTCCATTTATATGAAATGTCTAGAATAAGCAAATTCATACAGAGAGCAGATTAGTGCTTGCCAGGGCGAAGGGGAAATGAGGAGTGACTGAAGTTATGGGGTTATTTTTGGGGTGACAAATTAGACAGTAGTGATGGTTGCACTACTTTGTGAATATACTAAAAACTATAGAATTGTACACTTTAAAGAGGTGAATATGCCCGGCTGGTGTGGCTCAGTGGTTGAGCATTGACCCATGCACCAAGAGGTTGCCGGTCCGATTCCCGATCAGGGCACATGCCCAGCTTGTCGGCCAAATCCCCAGTGAAGGGCATGCAGGAGGCAGCCAATTGATGTTGTTTCTCGTTGATGTTTCTATCTCTCTCCCCCTCTCCCTTTTTCTCTCTCTCTAAAATCAATAAAGAAAAAATATATTGAAAAAAATAAATAAAATAAAGGGGTAAATTTTATGGCATGTGAATGATATCTCAATAAAGTTGTTATTCTTTTTTTTTAATTATTTTTTTATCCTCATCCGAGGACATTTTTTCATTTTTTGTTCAGATAGAATGAGAGGAAGAGATAGGTGGAGGAGGAGGAGGAGGAGGAGGAGAGAGAGAGAGAGAGAGAGAGAGAGAGAGAGAGAGAGAGAGAGAGAAATATTGATGTGAAAGGAACACATCAAGTGGCTGCCCCCGCACGACCCCAACCAGGGCCAGGGACAACCGGCAACCATGGTACACATGCCCTTAGTGGGAACTGAACCCGGGTCTCTCTGGGCCGCAGGCTGACGCTCTAACCAATTAGCAAAACCTGCCAGGGCTGTTATTCTTTTTTAAAAAAGGATTTCACACATGGGATTGTTATGAAAGTAAAATAGGGCCTCTGGCAAGACCATGCCCAGCATGGAGCCAGTGTGGTGGCTTTACAAGGAGAGCAAGGCACAGGTGCCTAGTGTCTTACATGGCCACACTAGCCTGAATTCTAGGAATTTCAGAGCTAGGAGATTGTCTCAGTTTTTACTGATCTGCTTGGTTTGGATCTGAAACAGGACATGCCACATTTCACTCAATACACCTCCCCCTAGCACACACTCCTGACTCAACTCTTTTCACAGTTTCTAAACAAAACAATAAAATAATAGGCACAAGCCCTGGCCGGTTTGGCTCAGCAGTTAGAGCATTGGACTGCGGTCCAGAGAGACCCGGATTTGGTTCCTGCTAAGGGCACGTACCTCAGTTGCAGTTTGTCCCCAGCCCTGGTTGGTTCATGCAGGAGGCAGCCACTCAATGTGTCCCTTTCACGTTGATGTTTCTCTCTCTCTCTCTCTTCCCACTCTATCTGGACAAAAAATGGAAAAAATGTCTTCAGGTGAGAATAAAATAATAATAATAATAGGCACAAGATCATGTAGTATAATCTTTCTTGCCCCTCCCCCCCTTAAAAGGAAAATATATTGGCTTGAGGCCCAAAGGCCTCCTCTGAGGAGACAAGCTGGGATGCTCTGAGCAGAGGTGGCTTCCCCAATTTGTGATGACAGCCCAGGGGAAAGGGGGAGAGTGGTGCTGGGACTAAAGACTAGAGTGGGCGGGGGCCCCCCTCTAGGCCACACCACCTGGGTGAGCCTCTGACAGGCAACAGGGTCCCTTTCTCCAAGGCCCAGGTCTCTCTATTCAGCATTTTTACCCCACACGTGCCTCTGAGCCTGAACAGGGGAGACAACTGGCCTCATCCTTCCCCATCTAACAGTCCTGGCCCAGAGACCAGGGTGGCTTCCAACAGGAGGACAGGGGGTTGTCCTGCCTCTACTTGTTGGTCAAAGCACAGAGGCTGGGAAGTTTGAGGGGACATACCCTCACCCTCTAAAGCTGTTTGGTCCCATGGGACAGAGTGGGAAAAGCCTTCAGATATTTAGTCAGACCTTTCATTTCACAAATGGGGAAACTGAGGGTCAGAGAGGTCAAAGGGTTTTCTGAAGGTCCCACAGCAAGTTAGTGGCATAATCGGCAGTTGGCCACCTGCTATGCCTGGCTGAAGCCTCAAAACGACCCAGGAGGGTGAATATTTGTTATCCTCTCCTGATTTTCCCAGAGATGGAGACTGAGGTGCTCACCCAGCTGAAAAGACACAAAGCTGGAATTTAAATCCAGGTCCACCTAGGAATCACAAAACATCAGGCCTGTTGAAGAGCCAATTAAAATTTAACCCCTCACCCTGCCCCATGTCCCATTACCTGTGGTCCTGAGGCCTGTCAGGTACACGGCGAGCTGTGTGTGGACTGTGCTGATACCAGGCTGGGCAGGGGAAGAGGACTGCAGGAGAGGCCCTGCCACACCTCCGTGATGGGAAGGGGCGGGGCATGACGTGTCCCTGGGCCACACACGCTCACCCTCACCCAAATGGCATTCCTTCCTGCCAGTGCTATCAGCCCCAGGCCTTCCTGTCTGACTTGACTCTTTCCTATGACACCCCAAGAGCAGCAGATGGGGCGACCACACCCCCCAGACTGGCTCCCCTGGGTCATGGCTATGCTCTCTGTCTCCAGGGGGAAGTGATATGGGGAACTGTTGCACCACCCTTGGCTGTGCTCAGCTCTGGGCAGGGAGGAGGTAGGGCATCTCCCAAGTCTCCTCTCCACCTGATTTGGTGAGGCTGACTCAGGGCCCAGCCATGTGGGCCAACCTGCTGTTACTGCGAAGGGTGAGGTTGGGCAGACAGCAGAGCAGGGTGAGGGTGGGGGCACAAGGAGCTGGGGACTCCCAAGAGCAGACTGGCAGTGCCCTCTCCTGGTGAGGAAATTGGGCAAAGGCTAGAACATTCACTGCCTGTGCAGATGGAAAAACGCAAGACTGGAGGGGTGGGGACAACTTCTCACCGCAAAGGCCAGCAGTAAACCCAGCTCAGCCTGCCTCTGCCTCTTGCTCATTTATCAAACACTCTGAAAGCAGCACAGTAAGCAAGGCCTACACTGCCCCAGGGAGTACCCAGGCCAGAAGGAGACAGACCATGACACGCATGAGGGCAAGGCCCCAGAAGCTGTGAGCTCCCCGGAGAGCTTCCTGGAAGAGAAGTCATCCAGATTCTAAGCTCAGGCCAAAATCTTGGAGTCATCCTTTACCCTTTGCTCTCTCATACTCTGTGTCTGACGTATCTGAAAAGCTCTGTTGGCCTCACCCTCGACATATCTCAAATTTGGCCCCTTTTCTCCATGGCAACTACCCTGACCCAGACAATACAATCACTAGTCTCTCTGTTCCTGTCTTCAGCCCACCATCTGTTGTAATCACATCAACCAAAAGGATCCAGTTAAAACCCATCTCAGCTTGTACCTCCTTTGCTCAGCACCCTCGCAGGGCTTCCCCTCACTCAGGATAAAACTCAGGTTCTTGTACAGCCCTGCACAATCTATGACCCACCTCCTGCTCTCTCTGACCTTAATTCCTATGACTTCCTCTCTCCCTCTGCCCTAGCCACACTGAAACATGTTCCAAACACTCCAGTTAGGCTCCCTGCTCAGGGCTTTTGCGCTGGCTGTTCCCTCTACCTAAAACGCTTTCCCCCAGCTACCTGGCTCCTTTCCTCACTTCTTCAGATCTCTACTCAAATGTCACCTTCTCCAAGAGGCCTTCCCTGGCCACCATGAATAAAGTGGTAACTTCCAGCACTGCCTTTCCTCTCATCCTGCCTTATTGTTCACCATCTGACATATGTATTTTCTGGTTATGTCTATTTCCTTGTTATGTATTTGTTTGTTTCAGGATCCAGGACAGTGTCTGACACATAGCAGGTGCTCAATAAATTTTGTCGAACAAATACGTGACCTGAAAGGGTAGCCTGAGAAACATTCCAAAGACATTCTACGCAGAGGGAACCATGTGTGCAAACATAAAAGCTTAGAGGCAAGAGGCGTTGCTTTGTTGAGGACCTGTGAATAATTCAGTACAGTGGGAGAGCAGGGGCCTTGGGAGCTGGAGGAGAAAAGAAGGGAAAGCGAGAGAGGCAGAGCCCCAGAAGCCAGACCAAGGAGGCTGGATGTTATGCTGAGAGTGATGGGGAGCCACGCTAGAGGGACACGATCAAGTTTATGTTTTAGACAACAATTTGGCTGCCACATTGTGGATTGGTGGGGAAGCTGTGAGAGGCTGGCATCCGGTGAGCACAAGCCATAGCAGGGGAGATAAGGACAGGGTCAGGGTCACTGCGCAGTCCTAAACAGTAGCCACAGTCACTCATGGTTATGGAGCCTTTGAAGTGTGGCTCGTCAGAATTGAGATATGTTGTATTTCGCATATACACACTGAATTTCAAAGATGTGGCATGAAAATAAAATATATACAGTAGCTTATTAAGAATCTTTGTACTGCCCTGGCCAGTTTGGCTCAACGGTTAGAGCGTCAGCCTGCGGTCCGGAGAGACCCGGGTTCGGTTCCCGCTAAGGGCACGTACCTCGGTTGCAGTTTGTCCCCGGCCCTGGTTGGTCGTGCGGGTGGCAGCCACTCGATGTGTCCCTTCACGTCGATGTTTCTCTCTCTCTCTCCCTTCCTCTCTCTCCCTCCCACTCTATCTGTACAAAAAATGGAAAAATATCCTCGGGTGAGGATAAAAAAAAAATCTTTGTATTGATTACCCATTAAAAATAATGTCTCGGATATATTGGTTTAACTAAAATATATTATTAAAATTAGCTTCATCTGCTTCTTTTTGCTATTTCTAATGTAACTTCTGGAAAATTAAAATTTTTTCAGAGGTACACAGAGCTCACAGTATATTTCTATTGGACAGCATTGATTCAGAGGGTAGAATGGACAGGGTTTGGTGGTCAATGGGCCGTCGGGGTAAGGGAAACCCTTGTTCTAATTGCAAGTCTCCACTCTCCTCCAATTGCTACTTTGTGATGGCAGCATGGTCTAGAGGCAGAGAGATTGGGCCACATGGATGAGCCAATAGAGTTGGTTTTTATCTCTACATAAGCATATACAAACCATTCATATCTTCACAGTAAGAACTATTTAGAAATAGGTTGACAGAATAGACAATGAGACCTCTGTCTTGGAGGTATGTAAGAAGAAACTTGAAGACCATCATTAAGCAGGGGAAAGGAAGTTAAACTAGTTATTCTCAAAACGTGGTTCCTGGACTAGCAGCATCAATAGCTCCTTATAGAAATGTAAATTCTCAAGTCCCATCTCAGTCCTACTGAGTCACAAACTCTGGAGGTTGGACCCACAATTTGTAATTTAACAAGCCCCCAAGGTGATTCTGATGCCTGCTCCAGTTTAAGAACCAATGGACTAAATAATATTTCCTATCATATGAAGGTTTCTATGACTGGCACATAGTAGATGTTCAAAAAAAATCAGCTACTACCTTCTGTTGGCCTTCTAGTCCCAAGTTAGGATACTTCACCCTCTCTGAGCAAATGCAGAGTTTACCTCTTGCAACACCTGGTTGTATGTGAGTTTGGCACAGGATGGAGGCACAGATTCAGGCATTTCCTGTCTCTGCCACAGGCAGCTCCCCAGGCCATGACAGAGCTGCCAGAGGTATAAGGGAGGCCCCAGCTCAGCTCCATCCCAAGGTGACCTCACTGCTGTGTGTGTGTATGTGTGTGTGTGTTGGGGGAAGTTGATTCATGAGACAACCTCCCACTGTCCTGTGGGCACAGCTGACAGCCCCGGGGAGCCAGCTCAGCAGCTGAGCGTGACATCCGGCTTCTCTGCATTCCAGAACTGCCAGCCTGGGGTCCACCTGACTCAGCAAGCACGTGCACTCTGGAGACAACAGACAGCTTGGCCTCAGTCTCCACATCCATAAGAATGGGGAGAAACAACCCCTATCCATGGTGAGATTATTTGTATAAAGTACTGAGATCAGTGCCTGGACAGTCGGCCCTCACCACACCTTGGCATTCTTGTGATGAGGCCTGTAGGTGTAAGGGGAAAGAATGTGCACCTACTATGAGCACCCAGTTCCTGTCAAAGAGTTCCTAAGATCCTTGTAATTTCCTTCCTTGGTGGAGGTGATAGGACTATTTTACACAGAGCTCCTAAATTCCTTGAAATTTTCTGGGTGATGGAAACCTCTTTTGTTCTAATGAGGCAACTCTTGGTGGGCTCTTGGACAGCTCCAGGATAAGGACTGGTCACCAGAAAAACCAAGCCATTGTTACAAACTTAGAACTTCCAGTGTCTGGGGAGGGGAGAGAGGTTAGAGTTTGAGTTGATATTTAATCACGCCTAGGTGATGAAACCTCCATAAAAATCCCTAAGGTATGGGGTTCAGAGAGCTTCCAGGTTAGTGAACACATCCATGTGCTAGGAATGTGGCGCACCCCAACTCCATGTGGACAGAAATTCCTGTGCTTGTGGCCCTTCCAGACCTCACCCTATTTACCTTTTCTCTGGCTCTTCATCTATATCCTTTATATCTATATAACAAATCAGTAAACATTTTCCTAAGTTTTGTGAGCTTTCCTATTTATTTATTTATTTATTTATTTATTTATTTATTTTTTAATCCTCACCCGAGGACATTTTTCCATTTTTTGTTCAGGTAAAGTGGGAGGGAGAGAGAGGAACAGAGAGAGAGAGAAACATCGACATGAAAGGGACACATCGAGTGGCTGCCACCCGCACGACCAACCAGGGCCGGCCGGGGACAAACTGCAACCGAGGTACGTGCCCTTAGCGGGAACCGAACCCGGGTCTCTCCAGACCGCAGGCCGACGCTCTAACCGCTGAGCCAAACCGGCCAGGGCGTGAGCTTTACTATTTAATTACTGCACCTGAGGAGGAGGTTGTGGGAACCCTTGATTAATAGTAGGTCAGTCAGAAGTGTGGGAGGCCCAGACTTGCAACTGGCATCTGCAGTGGAAGAAGGGTCACGGAAATAAGCTCTTAGCCTTTGGGGTCTGTGCTAACTATGGGTGGTTAGTGCCAGCTTTGCTTGGTGTGAGGAGGAAAACATATTTGGTGTCAATACTCAGAATATGTCAATGTAAGAAACATTCAAACCTGTGAAGAACTTTTGTCAGTTTATTTGACCAAAACTGTCAACAATTGCCGGGAAGCAAAATCTCAACTGATGGAGATAATGCTCCAAAGAATGGCAGTTTTGCACCTTATTTTATACATGACAATCAAAAGCGAAGATGCAAGTGAGTTACATAAAATCCATTGGTGAGCCCTGGCTGGTTTGGCTCAGCAGTTAGAGCGTCAGCCCACAGACCAGGGAGTCCTGGGTTCGGTTCCCACTAAGGGCACGTACCTCAGTTGCAGTTTGTCCTGGGCCCCGTTGGGATCGTGTGGGTGGCAGCCACTCGATGTATCTCTCTCATGTTGATGTTTCTCTCTCTCTCTCTTCCTCCCTCTCTCCCTCCCTCTCT